TGCAGTTGCATTACCTCTGCTGCAAAGCCCAAAGGTGTCCCCTGAGACACTCCATGCTTGGTTGGAAAGACTGAGCTGCTGCAATTCCCATCCAGCCTGTTCCTCTCATGCAGCAGGTCCCACAGAACTGGCCAGCCTGGGGACACCCCCCATGAGGCAACAGGGTTGGCTTCTGCTGCCAGCCCTGCTCCTGTGTGGCCAGGCTCTTGGTCTGGACCCAGACACAACACATGAGGCAAGACCCTCCTGGCAAAGCTCCTGCTCTTGGACTAGATCGACTCTTCGAGTGGGAACTGTAATTAAGTTAATCACTAGATTGCAAAAGGTTGTGGGTGGGGAAGGTGGGAGAGGCTGGGAGATAATTAGAAAGCAGATCATCACCTTGTTTTCCCATCTCCCCACGGATGTTACTGAGTTTGCTGAGATGTTGCCCTGGATGCCCCAGCTTGAGGAAGAAGCTGGGATGTCCCAGCCCCAAAGCCACACAGAGTCACTCCTGGCTCTGAAGCCAAACCCCCAGATGTTCTCCCAGAGCAGGTCTGTCCTCAAGCCACCCAAACTCCTGCCTGACCAAACACAAACCCAGCATCACCCAACCAGACCGACTGCTTTCTGATGGACAGCAGGAGGTGATGACAGCAGGCATTAATTTCCACTCACAAAGGGTAAAACCTGACATAAATATTTCATTAAGCATTTAATCATATTGCTAGAGATAAAACCACCTTGCCCTAAACACGGAGTAGGAACAAGCCAACACACTCCACTGATATGCATGGTATTATCTATTACATGCTTCTCATATAATCTTTTATAAAGTCCTTCTAAGAGCATCCACAGTCTGAGGGATTCAAGCCATGCCTTGTGCTGCCAGCCCCTGTGCTGGGACAGCCCAGACCCACCATGCTGCAGCTCCTGCAGCAGCCAGCACACCAGGAAACCCCTTGCTGATCTCTTATCCCTTCCTGGGTGAGGAAATCCATCCCACACTGCGCATCTCTAAAACTTGTGATTAATAAAATCCCTCTTTATCCAAGAGACCTTGGCTCTGCCTGTTCAAGCAGTTCTTGGATCACCCTGAAGCCCAACCTCAGCTGGCAGCAATGAGCACAGAGTGTTCAGGAACCCCTCAGGAAAGACCCCTCAGGTGGAGAAACACCAGAGCCTGAAATCCTTAAAAATATTCCACCTGCTATAAGTGCTTTTCATTCCCATAGGCAGCATCTGAACTGCCTGGGAAGTGACTGCTGTGCCCAGGAGGCTCCAGGCAGAAGCAGGAATGGGCAGTGAGCCTGGCAGGAGGGATGCTGTCAGGTCACAGCTCAGTTCCCCCACCCTGGAAGGAATAAGATTTCTGCTTTAATGGAGAAAATAATGCTTTCCAAAGGGAAACAACTGAAGTGTTTTCACTGAACTCACCAAAGCCTGAGACACTGATTTCATTAACTGAAGTCTGACAAAACCTTAGACAACTCCTGGGTGTAGTTGGCTCCTGCCTGGTCAGAGGTTTCTGGATGATCTTTATCTGATCAGCTAAATGACAGCTGTGATTAACTACTCATTTCATCAGTGCATGCACAGGGCTCTGAAGGGGCTCTTTCCAGGGGAGCCACAATGCTTTTTCCTAAGCCTGTACAGAAGATTGTACCCAAAGCCAAGGACAATTTCAATGTATTTGAATCAACCTCCAATCCTGTTTCCTCTGGTGAGTGTCTACCAAAAACCATGGCAGTAGCCATGGGAGGTCAGGCTTAGCTGGCCACTAAATTTGTGCCATGGGAGCCAAAAGAGCCACAAAAATACCCCTGAAGCCACAAACAGTCTGGTCCAAGTTCTACCTGGCAACACAGACATGCAAAAACCTTCTGGGCCATTAGTAATGCCCCCAAGTTACCAAAGTCCATCAGCACCAACCTGGAGAACAGAGCTGTCTGGTGGAGTCTGCAGGGATTGGGAAGTGGGGAGGGAAAGGGACCTCACTCCTTTTCCACAGCCCCCAGCCCGTGCTGCTGTTTCAGAGCCTGCCTGTTCTTGGCAACGTGACTGGCCCTCGACGTTCAGGCTCAGATGCTTTGCAGAGTTTGGGATTTCACATCAAAGCTGCTGGTTTGGCTGCTGCTGTGGCCGTGGTCGGTGATAGAGTTTGGAACCAGACCCAAACTTCTCAGAATTTCACAGCTGTTCCGGTCCCATGGCGGGTGAACTCACCAAAGCCTGAGACACTGATTTCATTAACTGAAGTCTGACAAAACCTTAGACAACTCCTGGGTGTAGTTGGCTCCTGCCTGGTCAGAGGTTTCTGGATGATCTTTATCTGATCAGCTAAATGACAGCTGTGATTAACTACTCATTTCATCAGTGCATGCACAGGGCTCTGAAGGGGCTCTTTCCAGGGGAGCCACAATGCTTTTTCCTAAGCCTGTACAGAAGATTGTACCCAAAGCCAAGGACAATTTCAATGTATTTGAATCAACCTCCAATCCTGTTTCCTCTGGTGAGTGTCTACCAAAAACCATGGCAGTAGCCATGGGAGGTCAGGCTTAGCTGGCCACTAAATTTGTGCCATGGGAGCCAAAAGAGCCACAAAAATACCCCTGAAGCCACAAACAGTCTGGTCCAAGTTCTACCTGGCAACACAGACATGCAAAAACCTTCTGGGCCATTAGTAATGCCCCCAAGTTACCAAAGTCCATCAGCACCAACCTGGAGAACAGAGCTGTCTGGTGGAGTCTGCAGGGATTGGGAAGTGGGGAGGGAAAGGGACCTCACTCCTTTTCCACAGCCCCCAGCCCGTGCTGCTGTTTCAGAGCCTGCCTGTTCTTGGCAACGTGACTGGCCCTCGACGTTCAGGCTCAGATGCTTTGCAGAGTTTGGGATTTCACATCAAAGCTGCTGGTTTGGCTGCTGCTGTGGCCGTGGCCGGTGATAGAGTTTGGAACCAGACCCAAACTTCTCAGAATTTCACAGCTGTTCCGGTCCCATGGCAGGTTCATCCCCTCACAGCTGCAAGGAGCAGCACAGCCCCAGCCCCCCCACCTCAGCAGGACCCGGCTAAAAACCACCCTGGGTGCTTAATTCTCTTCTTTAAGTCCTTTTTCTATTAATTCAGAAAGCTCTTTCTGATTTTTTGAGGTTCTGCCATCTCCTTCCACCACCCAGGAGGAAGAGCTGGGTGCCCCTTGGCCACTGATGGGACCCTCTGCTCCCTGCACCCACCAGGACAGACCCCTCAGTGCTGCTCCCAGCCCTGGTGACCTTGGTTCTCAGGGGGGGTTTCTCTCGGGCAACAGAGCATGGAAAAACTATGGGAGAGAGGTGGATGAGTGTGATACACAGGGGTGGGAGGAAAGATGAACACAGCTGGTCTTGGACAAACACTCTCCAGCTCAGGCTCCAACTTACCATGCTGGTGCCACTGGTGGTGCTGGCAGCAGCCGATCCCCTCTTCCAGCAATCTCCTCTTGGAATATATCCCTTTCTCCTTGGGGCACCAAATCACTGCAGGAGTGTGGTGTCTCTCAGCTTTCTGTTCTGCTTGGAGCTATTTAATAATTTCGTTGGGCTTCCACCCAAAGAAATAAGGCCCTTGATGTTGTCTTTGGTTCAGGTTCTCTCGCTCATGCTTTTCAATTCCCATAAAAACCTAACACGTTCCTGCCAACAAGGAAAATAGGAGGGCCACGAGGGGTGGGGGTAGAGTACCCACTCCATGGTCAAAGAAGTATGAGAACAGCAGTAGTATTTAGCAAGGAGAGACAATGGGAGTGGAAAATAGTGTTCATTCAGCTCCTCTTGTGGAGTCAAAGGCAGCTGGCAAGCAATGAATTCATTCTAATACAGCAGAAAAGACTTAAAGGAACTATGTGAAAATGCAGGAGCTGTTGCCCATTGAGCTGCTCTGTGACAGTGTCTGTGGGTGCCCCTGCTGGTGGTGCTGGCCAGGTGCCCTGGGGCAGCAGCCCAGCCTGCTCGTTCTGGCTCCAGCCTGAGCTTGCCAAGATCCTGATCTCAGCTCTTGGCTTTGGGATATTTGTTTCTCACTTCCATCTGTCATCAACCCAGGAGACTTCCAAGTGCCTTTTACCCTCTGACATTGACAGCACCTTTCTCTTATTGGCCTGATGCCGCCTTCAGGCTTTGGCACAGCATCTGCTTAAAGGTGGATCATGACCCCAAAGTTCCTTGCAAAATAAGGTTCTAATCCCTTTCCTGGGCATTCCTCAGTGGCCCAGGGGAGCCACTGGCTCAGGAGCCCATGTGAAGGAGCACTCCCATGAGACCTGTTGCTCCTGAGCAGGCAGTGCCCCATGCCCAGCACTTCTGCATTAGCTAGACCTTCACCTTTCCCTTTAACCACCTTTAGTGAGATGCCAGGGGGCACAAACATGGCATAAGCTAAACTGAAAGTTCCTGTTTTCCAAATATTGTTGCTCAGTGCATGGGTACATGTCCTGCCAGCCCACCTCCCACAAAATCTAATGTTTCTTGGCCAGGTGGCATGAAGCACGAAGTAATCTTTGCTATCTGGCACAGAGTAGGTGTTGCAATACCTGGTCATAATTGTCTTTGAAAGTTATTATAGTGGAGAGAGTTATTAACCTGGGCTCCCTTCCTGCCTCCTGTGGGTTTCCATCAGACACTGGATGGTTCTCAAATTTCTATTTTTTCAGCGTATAATTTTAGTACCTCCATCAATAGAAAGCAGAAGGAAAACAGAATTCCCTGTGATAAAATGAAAAGGACACTGTCCCTGCTGCCCAGCTACACCCAGGGAGGTGACCCCTCTGCCACGTCCCGTGCTGGAGGCAGCAGGACCTTTGGGGCTGTGTCACTGCCCAGGTCACCATCCGTGCTGTGAACCACCTGCCCCTCAGCCCAGGGACTGTCCCAGGACCACCCCCCTCATTCCCCTCCCCAGCCTGGCACCAGCAGCTGCCGGGCGCTCGGTGCCACCGCCAGTCACCGCCGCGTCTCTTGCAGGGCTGGAGAGGCTGGGAGAGATGGCTGAGGGGGAAATCACCACCTTCACCGCCCTGACCGAGACGTTCAACCTGCCCCACGGCAACTACCAGAAACCCAAACTCCTCTACTGCAGCAACGGGGGCCACTTCCTGCGGATCCTGCCGGACGGCAGGGTGGACGGCACCAGGGACCGCAGCGACCAGCACAGTAAGCACACCCAGGCTCCTTCCCTGCTCCTCTGGTCTTCCCAACCCTTATCAGCCAGAAAGGTGGGGCTGGGGCACGTGGGCTCTAAACCAGGCTGTTTGCTCCTGCTGTCAAGACACCTCCCAGGAGCCCACGCAGGCCCCCAACACCCGCAGCCCACGCACGGAGCCCCGGCATGAGGCTGTTGCCCACCTGCAGGAGCAGCAAGTCTGAGAGTGGTTATCCAAGCAGGGCAGGCAGCCTCTCACCCCGTGGGCAGGCACCAGCACCCACCGTCCCGTGGCATCTCTGCATTCTGCCACCTTTTGCTTTATTTTTCCCCTGAGAATAAGCACATCTTATTGCGTGCTGGAACACTTTAAAGACATTTTATGTGCATCTGTGCACAGCAAAGACTTAACAGGTTATCCGTGGCCAGAGTCTCTCTTGCCCATTCCTGTTCCCTGTGATGCCAGCAGTTCCTGCCCATGGGACACTGGGGACCTGCTGCTGGGATGAACTGCCCATGCAGATACCAACACTCATCTCACCATTTTCACATCCTACTGCCTTTCTAGGAACATGTTTGTTCTCCGTAACTGGCATCAAAGTTTACCTTGGGAAGCTGGATGGACTCGTTCACCAAAAAGTGACATTTTTATAATGCTGCTATGAAGTGCTAAAGACCACCTGGCATAGGGTAAACCTTAATACCAAAACCCATTAGCATTATTCTGCACAGCAAGAGAAGGTGCATGTTGGTGCTATTCAGCAGCTCTTCACATCACAAAGGCCCCAGGAGCTCTTCCCCTGCCAGCAGCTCACAGGAGCAGAGCCAAGCCGAGGTGCTGGGGCCCTCCTGCTGTGTGCTGGAGCTCTCTCCTTGGCAGAAACCTCTGGGCTCACCATATCCTGAACATTTACTGGAATATAACTGGGACCTGCCAGGCTCCTATCTGGTTAGAAAGAAGGGAAGGGAGGAGCCACGTTTGCCTTACAAAGTGCTAAGAAAAGCACTTTTATTTTCCTTCAGCCGCAAGCGCACATGTGGCTTTTCTCCCCCCGCGCTTGACCTTTCCTCTTGTTATTGTTGCTTTAATGAAAGGCAGTTTATAGGAGAGTTTTAATTATAAACACCATTTCCCCACCACGGCAGCACTGGGGGACGGGCAGGGATGAGCTCCCCAAGGCTGGGTAACCCTGCAGAAGGCTGGCAGCCTCCAGCTGGGAATAAACCCGACGCTAACCCCGCGCAACCCCCCGCGCCGGGCAGGTGAGGACGCTGACCCCAAGGACCCGCAGAAGACCCACAGCCTGCAGAGGCTGCACGAGCTCACCAGGCATTTCTGTCAAGTTCTGCCAGAGCTGAGATGTTGCTGGAGTCTGAAGGGGACATGGAGGTGGCCACATGCTCCAGGATACTCAGCAGCGCCAGCAGCAAGGTGGCATCTGCTGGGACACAGGTGCTAGTGAGGACATACATGTCCAGCCCCAACATGCTCCCACCTCACCAGATGCTGACCTGAGGCTGTGTCTTGGGAAATCCCTGCCAGAAAGGAAACTCCTGGATATAATCTTGTAAACCTGGATATCCAAACATGCAAATATTTTCAGAGGAAACCCCTGAAGGGCTGGGTGCCAGGCAGGCAGCCCTGCCAGCACTGTGCCCTGCCACCAATCACTGACTGATGGCTGCACCACTTGCATCCCTGACCACCAGCTGTGCCTTGGGATACTGCTTGCATCGCTGGGACAGTTTGGAGCAAGCTGGATCCACATGGGAAACCCGAGTGTGGCAGCAGGGAGCCAGGCCCCTGGGGAGGGCTGAGGCCCAGGGATGCCCACAGAGCCAGCGCTGCGCTGAGCCTGCGCTGCTGCTGGGCACACAGCTGCCCACCCCACCTGTGTTTTGTTCCAGATAAATTCTGATTCTTAAGAATTCTTATTTTCACCTTAACTCACCTTGCCAGGAGCATTAAGGAGAACAGAAGCCATCACTCACTCCAAGCCCTCTCCATCCAGCCCTACAGAATGATTCCCTTACTGCATCCCTTGCTGCCACACGTGGGCATCTCCAGCTTGTCCTGCAAAATGAAAAGAAAATTCACCAGGACACTGTAGACCCTCGAGGATGAAGCCCATGCTTGTTTCCAGTAACAGCCTTATTTCCTCCATTTCATCCCATTACTTCATGGAAGGGAATATCTGCACAGACCCATAAAAAGTGTGAAAATTTATGTGCAAGCTTCTCCCTCTCTCTGGTGACCAGAGACCTTAATATCCCATGGGCAGTTGGAGGGTCCCTTCACTCCCTCTCTGAGGCATTTTCAAGGACAGGATCATCATTTGTATCTCACTTCCCTCTTTCCCAGCTGGATGTCTCCTTGGCCACGTCCTGGGGCTGCAGCTCAGCAGCCAGTGCAGGCTGGGCTGGGGTCTCTCCTGCTGCCACGCTCGCCAGCCCCCAGCCTGAACCAGGCAATGCACATTACTGCAGATCTACACCCAGGCAACTTACTAATTAGCCACCACTTACTGAGCAGGAAGTGCCAAATATGAATGTGAACCATTACAGCAAAGATTTAACTGGGATGGGGGGTTCTGCCATGCCAAGAGGTGACATTACCTTTTACCTCATCCAGAAAAGGGTAAATTAAAAAAGGAAGGAAGGAGCTGGAGCTGAGGCATCCATTAACATTTCATTCAAACCAACCTAAATATTTCTATTACAGACCTCTACAGTATAAGCTCAGGACTAAATGCAGAGTAGGGGACTGGAATGATCCCCTGGAAGAGCTGGGTTTTGCAAGTGACAGCCTGCATATCACCAGAAACAGGAACCAGAAATAGAACGGTTACATCTGCTGCATCAAGTAGAAGATTCTGAGCAGGCCTCATCCCTGGGAGGTGGCCCAGACACCCTGGCCCGCAGCTGACCCGCTCCCCTCCCACACTACGAGACCAATAAGGAGCTTTTTTTGCCCTGGAGTTTCCTAGTCGAGGTCCAGCGTTGGTGGTGGGGACAGGAAGCTGGTGTCCCGTGGCCACAGGAGCCAGTATAAGCTCAGGACTAAATGCAGAGTAGGGGACTGGAATGATCCCCTGGAAGAGCTGGGTTTTGCAAGTGACAGCCTGCATATCACCAGAAACAGGAACCAGAAATAGAACGGTTACATCTGCTGCATCAAGTAGAAGATTCTGAGCAGGCCTCATCCCTGGGAGGTGGCCCAGACACCCTGGCCCGCAGCTGACCCGCTCCCCTCCCACACTACGAGACCAATAAGGAGCTTTTTTTGCCCTGGAGTTTCCTAGTCGAGGTCCAGCGTTGGTGGTGGGGACAGGAAGCTGGTGTCCCGTGGCCACACGAGCCACCGCAGAGTCACCAACCAGCCCCTCGCCCCCGCCGGCTCCTGGGTCAGCATCAACTTCACCTCAGTGCCACAAGCTGGGACAATCTCAGATGTGGCTGACGGCCACCAAAGGAGGTATTTTTGGGGATGAGAATCAGCCCTTCCCAACGCTCCCCTCTCTGCCTACGGCGCGTGGGATCCCGCAGGAACCTGCTGGAGGGGCTGCTTTGGATCAGGGTTCTGCAACGTCTGCCCACCCCCGGGTCAGCTCCTGAAATACTTCTTCATATGGCACTCCTTCAGTGTCTTGTCAAAACCACATAAGAAATTTTAAAATTAGAGCCAGAATTAAAACCCCAATCTCCTGTGTCCCATTCCAGCATCCTAACCAAAAGACTGCCCTTCCTTTGATGTAAAATGAGGAAAAAATTGGTCTTGGGTTCCTAAAGCGTGGCTGTGGGGTTCCTTTGAAGGAGAGGGTACAAGTTATTACAGGCAGTACTGTTCCTTATAAACTCCTTAGAAGCTGAGCTTCAGAACAAAAAAAACAACCCCTCCTAACTTTCCAAGCAACTTGGACATTATCTTGACAACCTTTTTTATTTCCTCCCCCTCCCTTTTTTTTTTCCCTATTACCTTTGTTGTTTTATTTTTACTTTCAGTTCAGCTGCAGCTCAGCACAGAAAACGTGGGAGAGGTGTACATCCAGAGCACCCAGTCGGGGCAGTACCTGGCCATGGACCCCAACGGGCTGCTCTATGGCTCGGTAAGTGGAGGTTTGTGTGGGGTTTGAGGTTTGCAGGGATCTCGTCGTGCTGAGCAATGTGAACCACAAGCAACAATTGGCCTCTGTGTGTTGTTCTGGTAGCTGGATGGCCACTCTTCATCCGGCTTCATTTGGGGGGGAAATAAGTAAATAATACAATAAGGCCAATTACCACCCTGCCTCAAACACCTGACAAATATCATGTTTCATGTCTGGAGCAGCAGCTGCTTTATGTCCCCACAGCAGCTGCCAGCTCTGCAAGCTGGGCTGGAGAGGGACCCCAACACTGCAGGGCAGGGACACCCCCAGCCCTGGCAGCATTTTGCCCACAACTCTGCCCGTGCTGGACACCTCTTCATGGCTCTGAGAGCCATTCAGGGCTGTTCCCAGGCAATGCCCTGCAGCCACCAAGCAAAAACTTCCCCACATTTTTCCTTTGCATCCTGGTTGCCCTGAGCCCTTGCAGCTGCAGCACCCCGCTGCACGTGGGATGTGCAAGGCTGGAGCTTATTCCCCAGTGGAGGGCATAGAGCCACCAAAAATATTCTGGGTCTTTGAGAATGGTCCCATTTATAGCAAATAGTCTGACACGTAATCCTGGTCACAAGGTGCTTAGTCCCACCAAGAGCTGTTCTGCTCCCTGTGCTCCTGCCCTGAACCCGCAGCCACCACCGCACAGGTTAGTGCCAGGCTGGGCTCACAGGGGCCAGGCCCAGGGCCTGCCAAGTAAAATGCCCAGGTCATGGATAAATTAATGCAGGAGTGGCACAGGGGACTACAGCAAAGCAACCTGGACCGGTAGGAGGCGTCACTGCCCATGGCAGGGGGTTGGAACTGGATGATCTTTAAGATCCCTTCCAAACCAAACCAGCCTGTGATTGTAGGACCCTACTTACGTCCATGCTTTACCTGTGAGCTTTGCTGGGGCTCGGAGATCTCGGTGGTGGGTCTGGGGAGCATCCTAGCTGGGATGGCTGCATTAGGAACAGCATCCTCCTCCCTGCAGCATCCCCCTGCCTCACTGTTGCTCCCCCTCTTTCAGCAGCTGGTGGGTGAGGAGTGCCTGTTCCTCGAAAGGATCGAAGAAAACCATTACAACACGTACGTCTCCAAGAAGCACGCGGACAAGAACTGGTTTGTTGGGCTGAAGAAGAACGGGAACAGCAAGCTGGGCCCACGGACTCACTATGGGCAGAAAGCCATCCTCTTCCTGCCACTGCCTGTCTCTGCTGACTGAGCCTGGCCCAGAGCTCGGAGATGACCTGAACCCCAAAACCCAGCCAGCACCGCCGCCTTGGCCCTCCCTCTCTCTTTGTGGTAGCATGACAGAGCCCAGCGTTAGAGCTCCCAACATTAGAGCTCCCAGCTTTAGGTAAAGGCTTCTCCAAGCATGGCCAAAGAGCTCCTCTGCACTGCACAAAGCTTTGCAGATGTGAGGGGAAGGCACCCCGGGCAGGCACCCAGAAATGTAGCCAAGGGCACCCCGAGGACGCCCTGGGAACACACGCTTTTACCAGCCCCAGTCACTCTAAGGCAAAACCTCCCAGAATAGTCTCTATTAATATATTTATCCATTAAATATGTAGCTTCTGATAGGCATTTCAAGCAGTTTCAGGTTGCACCGTGTGTCCTGTCCCTGAGGACCAGCCCAGGTAAATGCTTGCAGATTATCCTCAGTGTAGGCAGCTAAACTCAGAGCTCCCAGCCCCAGCCACCCCAGCCTCCCTTCCAACACAAATATTGCTGTATTTTGTGCTGCTATCTGCCATATGTTATTTGTATTTATTTATTAAGTAAACCTGTCTCTTCTACATTCTGCTCATAAGTAATTCCAGGCACCAAAGCCCCTTGACATTGTTCCAGTGAGGATGGGGCAGAGTGGGAACAACTGAAGGCTGTCAGTGGTGGGATGGTGCAGCAGAAATGGCTGCATGGCAGCATTGCTTTAGTTTGGAATAGATGGGTAATGTCATTCATTTTACCTTCCTTTTTGTGTAACAAACCCCTAGATGCTACAAAAGCAGGTAATTGGCAGGACCATTGCCCACACACAGGCACCCACCCTGCCAGCACCTGGCACCCTCCTTGTACCTACCCACTGCCACAGCCCTTCCGTGCTGTGTCCTCACCTAGGGAAGTTTGGAGATGAAGCCACGAGCTGATTTCTGCTCCTCCTGGAGGGCAGCAGGGTGCTGAGAGGGGAGGTGATGACAGAGCCAAGCTTCTGTACAGCTGCCCCTGGAAGGTCAGGTGTATGGTCTGGCAGGTGCACACTGAAGGCTTAAAGCACTACAAAGAGCAATTTTCAACTTTCACTTATAATTCCCCAAACCCAAAAAGGCACATTTTTACTGCATATACCACTTAAAACATTTTAATTAAAATAAGAAAACACTTGCAAAAAATCTACTCTGCATAGCCACCTTTCCCCCTCAAAACAAATAAATAGATGAAGCACAGCAGTAGGATATCTTTGGGTTTTTCCCATTATCCCACTATCACAGGTAAGCTAGCTGGGTGTCCCTAAGCTGGCACACACCCAGGACTGTTGCCTCATTTTACACAGCTAAGCACATGTCCCACAACACAGAGCAAGTCCACAGGCTCCCACTATAAAAGCTGAACAAGGAATGATTAATCAGCCCTGCTGCCACCACAGACCCTGAGCTCGCTTCAGATTACCTGGTCAGTGAGGTAGAACACCCTCTCAGCTCTCAGGGAAGGTGGTTCAGGCTAACCAAGGGCCAGGAGCAGGTTCCCTTCAGCTGCAAAGTGCTACCCCACGGGGGTATCAGCAGCACCCTCACATGTGCCCACATCACACCCCTGGAGCACCAGTTGTCCAGGAAGGGACACAGCCTGAACCCTCCAGCCCTTTCTTCTGTGCTGCTATGAACTTGCAGCTGCTTACCTGCAGTGAACAAGAGTTGAGAAGTTTGACATCTAGACCAGTACCTTGCAGGGTCCAGTAAGGACTGAACATCTGCCCGAATCCCAGATTTAGGCCAAAGAACTGCAAGGAAGAAAGAGCAAGAGAAGGACCCAGCCACCACCAATGGCCCTGGTACTGGAGCTCTGGTGGGTCTAGCACCTGGGAAAGGCTACAGATGATGGTTCAACAGCAAACACAAAGCTGGGCAAGGCATGGAAAGCCAAGGGCATCAACACCTCACTTAAACACTGCAGCCACTTTCCCCATGAAAGGCCGGGTTGTCACCTAACTCAAAAAATGAATGAATGCATGACCAGGAGATCCAGGCTGCTAATTAAACTGGAAAGTTGGAAAGCTTAATGCCAGATTTAGCTGTGCTGTCTCCCAACACCTCATTAACCTCAGGGCATTCCTCTCCTTAGACTTCTGCTGCTCAGAAATTACCACCCCAGCTACACACTTGATGCCCGACTGGGGAAAAATGTCAACACTCTGTCTGAAAAATAATCCCCAAGGAAGCCACAGGAACTGCTGCAGGCAGATGAACAAGCAGGGATGGCATTACCCAGAGAAACCAGGCTCACTTCAGAGTGTTGTCCTTAGGGTGAGAGGTGTGTGGGGGGGAATAATTATAAGATTTAAAAAAAAATCATTACACTAGAAGATCTTTCCCAGTAAGTGCAGAGACCCTGAGCTCCCAGCTGCAAGTCAAAGCCCACTTGGATGCCATCCTGTGCCACCTGCTCAGGGTGACCCTGCTTGAGCAGGAGATGGGACTGATCCTCTCCAGAGGTCCCTCCCAGCCCCCAGCCCCCTGGGATCCCGTGAGGGGCGGGCAGGGACGAGCTCCTGGGGGCAGGGACGAGCTCCTGGGGCAGGGATGAGCTCCTGGGGACAGGGACGAGCTCCTGGGGACAGGGATGAGCTCCTGGGGACAGGGACGAGCTCCTGGGGACAGGGATGAGCTCCTGGGGACAGGGACGAGCTCCTGGGGACAGGGATGAGCTCCTGGGGACAGGGACGAGCTCCTGGGGACAGGGATGAGCTCCTGGGGGCAGGAACGAGCTCCTGGGGCCGGGGACGAGCTCCTGGGGGCAGGGATGAGCTCCTGGGGGCAGGGACGAGCTCCTGGGGACGGGGACGAGCTCCTGGGAGAGGGGAGGAGCGCT